AATTGTAGTCAAATGAGAATTGATAGTAAGATATACAAAGATTTTTGATTTAAAGTGTATAATCTAATATGAACTGTAAGTAATGACTGTGGAAGAAATGCACGAAAGTTACATGTAACCAATCAACACACTTTCTACAAGATGTAATGAAGGATGATTCTTTTTTTGTGTGTTTTTGTTCAATTAAAATAAAATAAAAACTTTTTAAAAAATGCAGTGCAACTGACTTAACCTCTCTTAACAGAGATTTGGGACTCAGCTGTGAGTGTATGTTGAATACTACTGATGGAATGGGGATGGGATGGGATGGGATGGAATAGGAGAGAATAGAATAGAATAGAATAGTTGGAAGGGACCTTGGAGGTCTTCTAGACCAACCTCCTGCTCAGGCCGGAAACCCTACCATTTCAGACAAATGGTACACCAAGAGCTAGAACTGAAAGATCAACTATGGCTGGAGTCCAGTAACAAGAAGGAATTTTAGTGCAATATTTACATTCTGTTCCTAAAAAGAATTAACATCTGCCTAAGAATTATCAGGCAATTTTTCCCTTAGGGAAAGCAGAAAGCTGGGCTTCACTGTGAGCCAGTGGGCTGTTCTGACTATAGATTCAGCACATTTGAAGAGGGAGTTTAGACCTTCAAGGTCATCTCCTTGCAGGAACCCTAATTAATGCCTCCCTGATAGTTGGCTGTCTAGACACCATTTCAACACATCCGAGAGATCCCATCACCTTTGGTTAATTGGTTCCACTGCTGCACTGCTGTTATTGTTAGGAAGTTGTTTTCTGAGACACAGTCAGAACCTGCCTTCTTGTAATTAAGTCCCTTGCTTTGTGCCTTAACACGTTTAAAACAGCAAGGAAAAAGGTCTCGATCTCCTGTAGGGCATTGTTTCTGATTTTGAAGCGTGCTATTATATTGCCCTCAGTCTTCTTTTGGCAAAGATCCTGAGTTCCTACCGTCTCTCTCATAAAATGTATGGTTCTTTCCACCTTGTTGCAAAAGGCATAGAGGATAGGACCAAAGGTCTTATTTTGTAACAAAGGGGTACCAAAATGAAGTATCCTGGACTGGACAAAGACTCAAGGAGACAAATAAGTGCAGAATATAAGTGGAACTATTACTTCTGTGATTTGGAGATTATAGTTCTATCAGCCCTTTGAGGTTAGACCAGCTCAGGGATCAGGCTCCACAGAACTTAATTCTGAAAGTCAGAGTCTCCCTCTCCCTCTTCATTCTCTCTCTTCATTTTCTCTCCATTCTGTCTTCATTCTCTCTTCTTTCTCTCTAGCTTCATTCCCTCTCTTCATTCTCTTTCTCTTCATTCTCTCTTCATTCTTTCTCCTCTTCATTCTCTCTTCTTCTCTCTATCTTCATTCCCTCTTTTCATTCTCTCTTTATTCTCTCTTCATTCTTTCTCCTCTTCATTCTCTCTTCATTCTCTGGCTCTCTCTTCATTCTTTCTCTTCATTCCTCCTCTCTTCATTCTCTTTTCATTCTCTCTCTCCATTTTCTCTCTTCATTCTCTCTCTTCATTCGCTCTCTCTCTTCATTCTCTCTCTTCATTCTCTTCATTCCCTCTATCTCTTCATTTTCTCTATTCTTTCCCTTCATTCTCTCTCTCTTCATTCTGTTTATTCTCTCTCTTCATTCTCTCTCTCTTCATTCTCTCTCTTAATTATTTCTCTTCATTCTCTCTCTCCCCCCCTCCACATGTTCTCTGCCTTATGTTCTCTTACTATTCCAGGATGCCGTAAAAACAGAAATTCTAAAATTTCCATTTGTTTCCTCTTCTTTCCTCCTCCTGATGAGTATCTGGCAACAATAATTCCTGTTCCTGCCAGCTCAAAACTCAATTACCGCCAAATGATGAATCAGTAATATAGAGCTGGTGGCTATTAATCAAATATTTATATATGGCACATTCCATTTTTGAACAACAAATGAGTATAAGCATTGTACGAGAGGAAATGAAGAATAGAGGTGGTATGTTAATGGAGAATTATTTTTTTAGAAAAAGGGTGGGCAACCTGTAAACTCCTTTGCATTCTCCAACCTCCAGCTTTAAAATCAGTTCTCAAATGTTGTTGCCGAAATGCAGTTTGCCAGTGTGTGTTTCTCTCTGCATGTATATGTGTGTGTGTGTGGGGAGGGAGGTTTTGTTGTTGCTGTTGTAGTACTTATTTTGGTTTTCATCAAATTTAGGGGTGAAATTTTTGCAGTTGATGTTGATTAAACGACTTGGGCGAATCTCTGTCTCAAATCTGATGATACCCTACAACAGAGATGGGGAACTATGGGCCATTTTTTGACTTGTGGACTTCAACTCCCAGATTTCCTGAGCCAACTGGCTCAGGAATTCTGGGAGTTGGACGTTCACCAGTCATAAAAGGGCCATGCTTCCTCACCCATGCCCTACTTCAAGATTATTATGTAGATAAAATGGGAAGAAGAATCTAAATACAATATGCCNAGAAAGAAAGAAAGAAAGAGAAAGAAGGAAGGAAAGAAAGAAAGAAAGAAAGAAAGAAAGAAAAAGAAGGAAGGAAAGAAAGAAAGAAAGAAAGAAAGAAAGAGAAGGAAAGAAAGAAAGAACAATACCACAATATTTGTTTAAGGTATTCATGAAGCAGGACTAAGGTACAAGCATTAATCTATTTCCTTACAGTTCTTTCAAACCGCTAACCCGTTTATGTCGAGGTGGCACAGTAGTTAAATGCAGCACTGCAGGCTACTTCAGCTGACTGCAGTTCGGCTGTTCAAATCTCACCGGCTCAAGGTTGACTCAGCCTTCCATCCTTCCGAGGTGGGTGAAATGAAGACCCGGATTGTTGTTGGGGGCAATATGCTGACTCTGTAAACCGCTTAACCCTATGAAGCGGTATATAAGTCTAGAAAAAGAAAAAAAAGAACTCCGGTTCGACAGGGCGAGCGTCCCGAAGGCAGAACGCCTCGCCCTTCCGCCCCTCCCCTCCCCTAACCCATCCTCCTAGCTTGACCCGGGTCCCTCCCCTTGGCGAAGTCTCCGCCGACCTCTCGGAGTGGCGGCGCGGCTCCGGGCGCTCTCTTTCACCCACTTCTTTCTCTTCCCCCCCCCCCTTCCCGGGGCGTGGTGTGTGTATGTGTGTGTGTAGCCGCGCGCGGGTGTGTGTTTGTGTGTGCCCAAATCACATGGTGTTTTAAGAAATGCTCCAAAGATGGCGGTAGCGGCGGCCGGAGGCGGCGGCCGGCTGCAGCGGAGCGGCGCGCTGGAAGTTTTGGTGCGCGACCGGTGGCACCGGGTGTTGGTGACCCTGGGCGGCGAGGCGCTGGTGCTGAGCGGCGAAGAAGGCGGAGGCGCCGCCGCGGCTTACAACGGCATCGGGGCAGCCTCGGCGGGCAATGGAACTTTCTGCGGCAGAGGAGCCGGCGGTGGGGCGTCGAGGGCGGCCGCCTCCTCCTCCTCCTGTCCCCTGCCCGGCGCTGGCTCGCCCGAGTCGCCGTCGGAGAGCAGCTACAACAGCAGCGGCAACAACAACGGCGGGAGCCCCAAGCCGGCGCTCGGAGTCCGGACGGCGCTGACCGACTTGCCCGAACAAGTGCCCGAAGCCGTCTCTAACCAGAAGCGGTGCGTCAAGGTGTTGAAGCAGGAGATGGGCGGCTTGGGCATCAGCATCAAAGGGGGCAAAGAGAACAAGATGCCCATCCTCATCAGCAAGATCTTCAAGGGCTTGGCCGCCGACCAGACCCAGGCGCTCTACGTCGGCGATGCCATCCTTACCGTCAACGGCGCGGATTTGCGCGATGCCACCCACGACGAAGCCGTGCAGGCGCTCAAGAGGGCCGGCAAGGAGGTCGTGCTGGAAGGTAAGCGCGCGTGTCCTGCGCGGGGGAAATCCCTTAAAAAAAAAACCCGCTCTGCACATGCCAGGAGACAATCCTGGTTAGGTTTTTTTGCAGAGGCGTGTGTTTTATAAACGTGAGAATGCCTTCCGCCCGCAACCCGGGGCGGGGGGGGAGAGCAACTCCAGAGGTGTGGGAAGGCGCGCTCGTGTGCCGCCTGCTTGGATTGCCGTTTGCGATGAAGCTCTGGCATTCCAAGGTTATGACGCCACGTGTTGCTGGACGCTCGCTGGTCCTGCGCTTCCAAACACGTGCGCCGCGCGCGGGGACTGGGGTGGGCTGTCCTCGTGGGAAATCGAAGCTTGTTCCAGAATGCGATCTAGCGATGTGGGGTGCGCGTGTACGTGTGGAAGGGGGTCCCCTCCTCCGGTTGTGTTATCAGTTTAGTAGTCCCAGGTGGACTTCCCCTCTTTCAACCCGGTCCTGGGGCCGCATCTAAAGAAACCACGGATCGTATTGAAAGGCAAAGCGGGCTCCTTTTCTTACCACCACCACCACAACAACAACAACACATAAAGAAATTGCAGTTTCCTGCAATAACACCAACGGAACTGTAAAAAAAACTGTGCTACTAGGAACATCATATATTTTAAGAAGATACCTGGTTGATACCTAGGTCGCTGGCAGCCAGTGACATTTGTGACATGTCTTTAAATGTTCATTTTACTGAGATTCATGCTTAATGAATAAAAGAAATAATAATAATAATAATAATGAATAATTTATCAGACTTGAACATTCTGATTCTACAAAAATACCCACCCTACTTGGAACAGCTTATATCCTCCCACGTTACCTTAACAGTTCCTAGGTCCTTGGTTAGGACTCTAGCTGTTGAGCTACCAACCAGCCCCAAAGGCTGTGAATCTCACCAAAGATTAACCACATAATAATAATGGTAAATGAAGTTGAGCGATTGTAATTGGAGCCCTTGGAGCAATACCTAAAGGGTTACCTCGCTATATGGAAATTCTAAATTTACCAGGCTTGAACGTTCCGATTCTATAAAAAACCACCCTACTTGGAACAGCTTATATCCTAGATGTTACCTTAACAGTTCCTAGGTCCTTGGTTAGGACTCTAGCTGTTGAGCTACCAACCAGCCCCAAAGGCTGTGAATCTCACCAAAGATTAACCACATAATAATAATGGTAAATGAAGTTGAGCGATTGTAATTGGAGCCCTTGGAGCAATACCTAAAGGGTTACCTCGCTATATGGAAATTCTAAATTTACCAGGCTTGAACGTTCCGATTCTATAAAAAACCACCCTACTTGGAACAGCTTATATCCTAGATGTTACCTTAACAGTTCCTAGGTCCTTGGTTAGGATACCAGCTGCTGAGCTACTAACCAGCCCCAAAGGCTGTGAATCTCACCAAAGATTAACCACATAATAATAATGGTAAATGAAGTTGAGCGATTGTAATTGGAGCCCTTGGAGCAATACCTAAAGGGTTACCTCGCTATTTGGAAATTCTAAATTTATCAGATTTGAACATTCTGACTCT